AGGAGCACAACGGTCCATTCCTAGGGTTCAGAGAAACGGTTAAGCTGACCAGAATGGGGGAACTCACCAACTGAAGCCGGTGGTGTGCATAGAAGTCGTGCTCAGGCAGGTAGAATGGAGAGCTGCTGTAAAGAAACCTGGTTCCCTAGCCCAGGCTTCCACGTGTCCTCAGCCGGCCCACCCGTGGGTGGGAGGAAACATGGAGAGCCTGGCCAAGTCACAGAGCACCACTGTTGATTTGAGTTATATTACTGTAAATTAAGATGTTAAGTATAATCAACAGGTCAAACACAAGGAAAACCACTAGAATATATCCAAAAAGAAATAAGAAGGAAATTAAATGGCATACTGGAAAAAATCTCAGAAACAATAGGCAGTAGTGAAGAAGTTAAGGAACACAGAAGATAGAATGGTAGAAAACAAATAGCAAAGTTGAAGGTTTTTTTTTTTTTCGAGACAGGGTTTCTCTGTAGCTTTGGAGCCTGTCCTAGAACTAGCTCTTGTAGTCCAGGCTGGCTTCAAATTCACAGAGATCCACCTGCCTCTGCCTCCCAAGTGCTGAGATTAAAGGCATGTGCCACCACCTCCTGGCTTTTTGCTTGTTTGTTTGTTTAAGACAGGGTTTTTCTGTGTAACAGCTCTGGCTGTCCTGGAACTTGCTCTGTAGACCACATTAAAAGGTTTTGTTGTTGTTTTGAGACATGGTCTGGCTATATAGCCCAGGTTGTCCTGGAACTCACAATCCTCTTACATCAACCCGAGTGCTGTAATTTTCAAGGCAGTTTCGCCTTCAGGTATGTACCACCACATCCGGAATAATTTTTTCAAATTGTGTGTATGCCCTTTGTATGGGAAGAGTACCGGTATACACATATCTGTAGGTACCCTTGTAAGCCTTAGTTCTGGAGCTGGAGTTACAGGCAGTTGAGCTCCATCTAGTGTAGGTTCTGGGAACTGAACTGGGGTCCTCTAGCAGAACAGGATAAGTAAGCCCTCACTAGATGAACTATCTCTCTAGCCCTATCACATCTGAATTTAGGAGAGCATTTTGGATTTTCAGATCAGGGATGTTCAACCTGTACTGGGAGAAGACAAGATAGAAACACAACACTTTAAAGTTCTTAAACTTTTTCCTATGGACTATTTTATATTTAAAAAAAAAAAGCTATTTGGTAGCATGTGTTTTTATGCCTAAGTAATCTCTAGATTTTGGCCAGCTGAAGTGTGTACTCCACAAAGCCTTTATTTTAATGATACTAACATAAGTACGACACCAGACCCTAAGTTCTTCTTTTATCCTTGGGTATCTTGAATCTGATAAAGGGACCTGTGCCCTGGTTTTTCATTCATCTTCTCCTTTGGTTTTGGTTTGTTAGGATGCCTTGGCCTGACTGAGGAGGATCTTCCCTTTATAACAACTTATCTGTTTGCTTTTCCTTCTTTTTGGAGGCTAACATGCTTCAAGCATATTTCTAGGACAGAAATAGCCCGAAGGTCCCCTTCTTCCACAATCCCTACCTGATTTTCAAAATAGTTTCGCCCTCAGGGGAACTCAGCTACTCCTCTACTGCTAATAGTGATGCTCTCCTTTATCACTCCATCTAATAACTGCCTGCTTATTGCTCTGCTGTAACGTTTATCCGGAAATGCAAATCCTTCACAGTTCTTAGGATCTTTGTCTTTCAATATGGAGACCTTCACAATTTACTACACTTGTAAAATAACCAGTAAGCTTTTGCCGGTGGACAGGGGAAACTGGAAGTATGCACTGTGCTAGTGCTGGTTTCCTCCATGGGGTGGGACTGGGACACCAGAAGAAGCCTCAACCCAAGCTCTTCCTTGCCTCTCACAGCATCCTTAGCATCACAGGTAAGGCACAGAGACAGGTTATGGTCCAGCCTCAAAGGCACATTTTGATAGACTGGTAGAGATACATTCTCAAGCAGATTCCCCGAGTAAAGGCACTTGCCACTGAGCCTAATAGGCTAAATTTGATCTCTTGGACCCACATGGTAGAAGGTGAGAGAACCCCCATAGGTTGTCCTATGACCTCTACATGTGCTGTGGCATGTGCACCTGCACAGATGTAATTTTAATTTTTTAAAAATTCCAAGCAATAATGCTTATAAATGAGGAAAAGGACATCGGAATAGTTCATATTGAGAATTAAGCAAAGATTTATGCACACTGGAGTATTAGCCATTGACAGTAGCAATACAGATATGGGTACTAAAAATTGCCTCAATAGATTGGCAAATGAGAAAAATTTAGTTCCAAAGCTGGTAAAGGGGCGGGGGGGGGGGGACAAACATGAGTTTCCATAGGGAAAAGAGAAGAGAAATCCATACTAAGATGTAAAAACTACTGAATGCTGGAATTTGGGGAAATAATTTTTTCTCTGTTTTTCCTATTATGACATCAAGTATTATCTGCCAAATTTTTAAAAAATGGATAAAATAAAACTATTTAATCTTTTCCTTTTTTTGTTTATTTTTTGTTGTTGTTGCTGTTGTTTTTCGAGACAGGATTTCTCTGAAGCTTTGCAGCCTGTCCTGGAACTAGCTCTTGTAGACCAGGCTGGCCTCAAACTCGCAGAGATCCACCTGCCAGGATTAAAGGCGTGTGCCACCACCGCCAGCTCTTTTTCATTTTTACAACACAGCCTGGCCTGTACATTTATGACCTCTCAGTCATGATGACACATGCACTCCAAACCAGGTATGGCGACACAGAACTGTAATCCCAGCAGGTTTGCACCATCCCCTGTAATCCCAGCAGACCTGCAACATCCCCTGCAATCCCACAGGCCTGTACCATCCCCTGCTGATGGAGGTGGGTCTTGTATCTTATCTGTTGCTTTCATTGGTTAATTAATAAAGAAACTGCTTGGCCCTCTGATAGGGTAGAATTTAGATAGGCGGAGTAAACAGAACAGAATGCTGGAAGAAAGAAGCCGAGTCAGAATCGCCATGATTCTCCCACTCTAGACAGACGCAGATTAAGATCTTCCCTGGTAAGCCACCTCATGGGCTACACAGATTATTAGAAATGGGTTAGATCAATATGTAAGAGCTAGCCAATAAGAGGTTATAACTAATGGGCCAGGCAGTGTCTAAAAGAATACAGTTTCCGTGTAATTATTTCGGGTATAAAGCTAGCCATGCAGGCGGCCGGGTGCCAGGAACGTAGCCCACTGCTCAGTTCCTATTACAACACCCTGCAATCCCAGCAGGCCTGCACCATCCCCTGCAGTCCCACAGACCTGCACCATCCCCTGCAATCCCACAGGCCTGCACAATCCCCTGCAATCCCAGCAAACCTGCACCATCCCCTGTAATCCCAGCAGGCCTGCATGATCACATCTGGCTTCAATGGAGCGTTTTTAAGTTTTTAGATTAGGTCTATTTAACATATACTGTACCAAGGCAAAGATACAAACAAGCACTAACTCCAACTTTAGTCACTATTCTTTCTCCATAACACACGTGCTCCCCCAACCTTTTTGTAATTTATTTTCCTCATTTACCAATACATTGGGGATGCTTTTTAATGTCAATATCTATATTATTACTGCCAATGGCTGGTATTCCAGTGTAAATAAACCCTTGCTCAATTCCAAATCTGAGGTATTCTGGAGTGTTTTGTTGTATTGGGAGGCTGAGGGAGAAGAATCACAAGTTCAGGGCCAGCCCTAGCTAAATAAATAGCAAGACTTCAGTCTCAGCACATTCAACACACCACAAATTGTACCTAAACTCTCAAATGTGTATCATAACTATAAGGAACATTAAAAATAGATCCAATTCCTGCCCCCCTCAACTATTTTCTTACTGCAGTTTGTATCTAGGAAAGTCATAGCCAATAGGGTCTTTGACAAAGAGAAAGCAGAAAACAAAACTTATCTGAAGGGCAGCAAGAGAAATTGATGCATGTGATTCCAAATCCAAATCTGGGCTTTCTCAGACTTGGCATTTCAGAAAACGACTCTGGGCAAACCGTGTCTTATATTTCTACTCGCGAAATGAGAGGAACAGCCCTGCCCCCATTGCAGACACAGCAGAGAGGCATGAAGAATAACACTTGCCATAATTAGCTGTTCAAGGGAAACCATCGGTACATATTCAAGAGCACAGGCTCTAAAACTTCAAAGGAACAAAAAAAAATCAGGGCTTTTTTCTTTTCTTTCCTTTTTTTGGGACAGGGTCTCTCTACTAAATAGCTCTGGCTGTGCTAGAACTCGCTATGGAGACCAGGATGGCCTCAAACTGGCCTTCAAGTTCATTTGAGCACACCATTAAATTTGAGTCTCACCGCCAAGTGGGAAATAAAGGGAAATCAGCAAGAGATTATCAAGAAGTGGAGACACAGTGTAGGGAGAGTGGGTGAGGGGTGGACTAAAGAAGGGATTGGGGTCAAGGTCTTAAGTCTGCCTGGAGATGGGCCTCCACTGACAGAGAAGCCACCTTACAAGTCCTAGCCCGGGAGAGGTTGAGGGCGCCATTCTTCCTGAACACCCCTACTTTTTTGTTCCCAGTCTTTCCAATAAAGGTGGCGCTGTCATCTCCCAGGTTGAAGCAACAAGAAAGCGAGCTTTGGGGAATTTCTGAGGCAGGCTCTCGCCAGTTTGGGGATCTTTCCACCGTTACCACCACTCCACATCCTAGCCCCTCTTCCGAGTCGCCTAACTCGGGTAGTGTGAGGCGCATCCAGGGCCCTCAGGGTGACTGTCACCCCGTAAAGTTGCACACAGTCGATGGTGGCCACAATGCGCGATGCAAGGGCTGACCAGCTCTTCACACCTCTCTCGCTTAGACCTTTCTGAGGACGCCCGTCCTGGCACCCTGCACACGCGCCAAAGGCTCCCGGGACGGCCCAAGGCGCATGCCCTCAAACGTCAAAGGACCGCGCCCGGAAAGGGCGGGAAAGTCGTTGATTCGCGCAAGGCTACCCCTGAGCATCTCCTCCCTCCTCGACAGCAGCCTGGAAGTCCCCTCAGGCACCTTTCGCCACTAGGGATGGTGGCCCCACGGCGGTCCTCTGTGTGGTTCTGATTCACCGCCATCTTGGTCCCCTCCCGCCTCCGGCTGCCCTTCTAATGGGAAGGGGCGGGGCCTACAGGGCAGGGGGCGGGGCCCTGAGGAAAGGGCGGAGATTGTGGCGCAGAAATCTGGAGTTGAGTGGGAAGCTGTCACAAGAGAAACTGGCGGGGGGGGGGGGGGGGGGGGGGGCGGGGGGGGGGGGGGGGGGGGGGGGGGGGGGGGGGGGGGGGGGGGGGGGGGGGGGGGGGGGGAGCCCTGAAGGGCGTGTTCGCGGAGCTGGCCCCACCCAGAGCGGGGAGGGGCTGGAGGATGGGTGTGTAGATCTGTCCTGCAACCTGTGTGTAGACAGACCTACAGCCAGGCCCTCTTGCTCCTGCTATTAAGGCCAGAGCTTTCTTCCAGCAAAGAAGGCCTAGAATCCGAACCGACGGCCTTGTGCGAGAGCATCCGGAAAAGGTGAGCTAGATCAGGAAGTGGACTGAGAGTTTCAGCCTTCAGTGGGTCCGACTCCGGGATCCGCTGAGCCTTTGTAGGTGTCGCACTCACTGTGTTAATCAAGGCGCTCTCGAGTATTGATGTGCCAGTGAAGAAACAATTGCCAAATAATCAGACTGTCATCGTAAGACATGTCCTGATTTCTGATTTTTTTTTTCTTTTGTTGTCTTTTGAGACAGTTTCTCTGTGTAGCTCTGGCTGTCCTGAAACTCACTATGTAGACCAGGCTGCCCTCAAACTCACAGAGGTCCTCCTGCCTCTGCCTCCCAAGTGCTGGGTTTAAAGGCATGTGCCGCCAAGCCTAGTACAGATTCTTTTGGCGGTGAAACCTGTCCTGGGACTCACTCTGTAGACCAGGCTGGCCTCGACCTCATAGAAATCCACCTACCTCTGCCTCCTGAGTGCTGGGATTAAAGATGTGCACCACCACCACCCAGCTTTTTTTTTTTTTTTTTTTTTTTTTTTTTTTTTTGTGCAAGACTTACTAGAATTAAAAAGTAAATTCAGATAGAATAGTGTACAGCAGTGGAGCAAACATCAAGATCTAGTCTCTCCTGCCATGACCAATGCAACCCTAAGTCCAGAGTGTGTTCTCTGGACATCACCTGCTGCATTTGTATGGTGGTGGGATCAGAAGATTGCTTAGGTGTCTTGTGGCTGTGACAGTTGATGTCCACCAAACGGCTGTCTTCCAAATTCCACTTCCCTTCATCTGTGTTGTGTTGCCTCTAGTTGCCACCTTCATTATTTTCCCTGCGTGGTTTCAGGAGCCTCTTGCCTCATCCTTTTCCATCCTGGCCCCTCCAAACCGCTTCTCCTCATTCATTTATGCCTTATGTTCACCTCACAGAGAGTCAGTGATTGCTTACAGTTCACATTAAACTTTAGGGAAATAAACAAATGAGAGCTGCGTTGTTTGATAAGCTACAAGTGAGGGGAAAGGTCATCCTGTCGTCAAGAAAAAGGCTACTGTTTAACTTCCTTTGAGTGTGCAAGTGGTGTATGTGCATGTGTGCCTGGCTGTGCACGCCTGTGTGCACTCGAAGAGGCCAGAAGAGAGTGTCCTCTCACTCTCAAGAAAGAATATCTCACTGATCCTGGACACAGGCTGGTGGCCAGCACGCCCCAGGTAAGCATGGGACCATACCTGGTTCTTATTTGTGGGTGTTAGGGAGCTGAATTCAGGCCTTCATGCTTGCACAGCCGTCACTCTTACCAGCTGGCCCAGCTGCCATGTTCCCTTTGAATCGTGTGTGTCTGTGTGTGTGTGTGTGTGCGTGCACACATGCACAAGAACACATGGAGGTCAGAGGACAACTTTTGGAAGTTCTCTCCTTCCACCATGTAGAATCCAGGGATCGAACTCAGGTTAGCAGCCTTGGCAGAAAGTGTTCTTCCCAGCTGAGCCATCTCACTGGCCCCTTTATAGTTTGCACACTTTTTTTTTTTTTTTTTTGGTTTTTCAAGACAGGGTTTCTCTGTAGCTTTGGAGCCTGTCCTGGAACTCCCTTTGTAGACCAGGCTGGTCTCAAACTCACAGAGATCCGCCTGCCTCTGCCTCCCGAGTGCTGGGATTAAAGGCGTGCGCCACCAACGCCCGGCTTCCCTTTGTAGTTTGGATATGTTCATGGTAAAATTGTTTTCTAGGCAAGGCTAGGCTTTCATCGGTCCTTATGCCTACAGGGTGTAAAAAGAGGGATATTAAGAATTAAGTAAATGGAACTAAATACTTTTTGGGAAAACACAGGACTTGTAAGATCAAGTACAGATCTCCCACTCATCACTGGGGTTACGAAGTTCCAGGAAGTGGCTGGGATATGACCTCATGTCACCTGAAAATGAATAGACTGCACATGTTCCATCTCGTAATATCCGTGACTGCTTCTTGTCAAGAGGGTCCCTAGCTCACACACGGGCAAGATGTCACCCGTGGCTGATTTGATCGAGGAGGAAAGAACACAGCACAAAGACCAGGCCGTTATTGTTCAAACAGCAATGTTTAGTTGTACAACAGAGGCTAGCAACATTTATATGACCAGTCTGAATGTCTGTTGGCTTGTTTTCAATTGGGAAATTCAACTGGAATATCACCAAAACATTGGTTGGGACTAATAACATTTTAAAAATGGGTCGTTCCTGCATCCCCTAGGCTTGGGCCTCTTGTTCCATCAGGACTTGTAGATGAATGGCCCACAAGTCACCAGCCTTTGAGCAAGTTGTATCCAGGTGGAGATGGCAGGGGAGGTGGCCAAGGGAGGATTTCTAGAAAGACACAGTGAGTGGGGCAGGGGCGGCCGACATTCGCAAACATTCATGCATCTGTTGGGGGCTTTGCCCTCCGTCGAGAATTTTCCATTAGCCCACAGTGACCTGTGGTCAGACTAATGCACTGCTCACATTAACAGGGTGGGAGACGGGCGCTGGAATGCTCGGGGTAGGTGGGAAGAGATCCCTCTTATTGCTAAATGTACAAAAGGGTGCTATTTTCCCGCCTAGCGTGTATAGCTTGTGGGTTTGGGGGGGGGGGTTCATGTGTGTGTTTGATTCACTTTTTCCCCCTTGTTGTTGTTTGGGGAATAGGAAGTCAAACCCAGCAACGTCTTTTCAGGAAAACCACTTCCCAAATGGCCACATTTGGGGGGGTGTAAAGAGGTTGTTTACACACACACACACACACACACACACACACGCACACACACATATACACACACTGGGCCAGACACCAGTGGTGATTTAAGTGAGGCTAGCCCTCTTGCTCCCCAGTCTCTGTAATGAATCACCCTTATACCTTTAAGCAATGAAGGAGACACCCTTGTCCCACGTAGGGGCTCACACAGCTGACCTCAATGACTGACAAGCAGAAAAAAATCGCTTTCTTGACCGTTTAAGGGAGCCAAGAAGAGTACTCATGCAGATGAATGGCTAGGGAGCAATGCCGGTTCCCTTGGAGATGGTTACAAGTCGCTGGAATGGGCTTGCAAGGGCAGGAGAAGCTCTCGGTGAGTTCCTTCTCTCTACACATGGGCTGGGGCTGCTGACAGACGATGGAGCAGGGCAATGCTGGCTGGCAGGAACTCCGTTCCAGTAGGAGGAGAGGGGTCGTTTGGCTAAATGGAGGAAGCTACTGGTCCTAAAGAGGCAGCCGGCCCCTCCCACCTGCTGAGGGCTGAGAGGGGTTGTAGTGGCGGGCTGGACAAGCACAGCATTAAAGGGGGCTTGGCCCTGCAGCAAGAGCAGCTGGAAGGAATGAGGGAGAAGCAGCGCTTGAAATGGCCTTCATTCAGCAGTGGGACAGGGGGTAGCTGGCACAGGTGGAAGGGCAGTGCCCAGGAGGCCTTCTCCCTGCAAGGGGAGTTGAGAACGGTTGAGGGTGTGGAGACCAGCAGTTTGCAGCAAGCACATCAAAACAGCTTCTCCAGGGAGAGTGAAACCATCCATAGCTTAACGAGGGGTCAGGCACCATTCTGCTACTTAGCCTATCCAACTATCCAGTGTCCACCCTCCTGATCCCTGCTGGCCCTAGGTGACCTCGCTGGAGTAGCCACGGTGCTCCAGAACACTGCTCCCGCTCTAGCTGACAGGTGCCGACTGTGGAGTAACTTACGGGAAAATGAGATGAGGAATGAGGGCTAGGCAGGTAGAGCTAAGGAAAGGCTAAGACCATAGGACTGGGGTCACATGATCCGATCATTCCCTCCTCCTTCACTTGGTCCACTGAATCATGGGATCCATCTCTTTTGTTTCTCCTAGCGCCTGAGTGATAAAGGACTGCGACTCTAAACGGTGGCATTCAGTGGCTGGACCAGGAGATTGGATAGCGCATAAGAGCAGTGGTAAACAGAATCCCTAGTCTCTTCCCTTTCCCAAGGCTAAGCTGTTTTCCTTAAAGCAGCCTTAGAAACCACGGGAAGAAGAACTTGTTGTGTGCAAGGAGCAGTGGACATGTGCCTAACTACAGGGCTCCGGAAAAAGGCAAGAGAAGGCTAAATGTATGGTTGTGGATGTTCCTGGGAGTATCTAGAGGATCGGAAGATGGGGAAACTGGGTCAGGGAGAGAGGGGAGAAGCAGAGGAAGACAGACAAATGAGAACAGAGTGAGTGAGTGAGGTTTACATGAGGCGAAGCCACAGAAAAGCCAGCTTAACATAGAAGGATCTAGAGAAAGGGAACTGTGTCCTAGAATTTGTCTCTGAAGCCCTGGGTCCCTAAAAAAATCTATATATTGTTTCTGATGCTTCAGAATTAGTTTTAAAAAAATGTCATGTCCTCCACCCAAAAGCTGCCTCACTTGACCAGTGTTTGTGTCCTTGAACAGAACACAGAGTAGGCAGCCAAGTTCCCCCTTTTCCCTAGGCTACTCCCGAGTTCAGGGCAAATTTCAGTGCTCAGCTGCAGAAATTGGCTCCTCTCTTCCCTATAGCTCTGATTTCTCTGGCCATCTCAGTGTGTATCGTCCCATGTTATTTTTTGTTTTTCGAGACAGGGTTTCTCTGTGGCTTTGGAGCCTGTCCTGGAACTCGCTCTGTAGACCAGGCTGGTCTCAAACTCACAGAGATCCGTCTGCCTCTGCCTCCCAAGTGCTGGGATTAAAGGCGTGCACCGCCATCGCCCGACCCTATTTTTTGAATATTTATTGATTTTTATCTTATGCATATAAGAGTTTGTCTCCATGTTTGTATCTATATGCCAGGCTTGTGGAGGTTAAAAGAGGGCGTCTGATCTTCTGTAGCTGGAGTCACTCAGTGCAGTCGTGAGCTGCCAGGTAGGTACTGGGAACCGAACCTGGGTCCTCTGCAAGAGTGGAAGTTGCTCTTAAGCACAGAGGCATCTCTTCAGCCCCTAGCTGTAACCTTATTTTAGGGCGACAGAATGTCAATTTAGGAAGTAGGCTGGGCATGATTTCTAAATATGGAAATGAAGTTAAGAGATTACTCTAAAAGGAAGCGAAAGGTCAGAGACAGGCAGGAGAGATGGAGGAGGTAGGAATAAATGAAGAAAGGAGGCAAAGGAGGCGGAGCGGGAGATTGGGAAGAGGAGACAACCAGCCAGGCTGCAAACCTGGGCAAGGCGAGCATAGAAGGCAGTGGTCTGCAGCGTGGTAGTATTGTTGATGGTGGCCTTGACGTAGACCCAAGGGTGGAGCTCCATTTCCAGGCACTAATTCTGCAGGAACCGCCCCCCAGCATTCTTCCCTGTTCCCCATGACCTTTGTTTTCCTCTGTCAAGAAGTCCAGGCCACCTCAACTTACAGCGAAGGTTGTTCCAAACCCCCGCACCCCACCATGGGCTAGCTCAGCCACCTGTCCGTGAAGAACACTTGCAGCCTCAGTTTGTGGGTGGGTCAGAAGAAAGAAAGGGTTGCCTATGGCTCACCTGCTCCCAGCATTTTAAAATAAAACCTTCCCCAGACCTCTTGAGTGAGGCGCACAGCTTTTTGTTCTGGAGCACAAGAGAAAAGGAGACAGGATGGAGAGTCATGGAGAAAGCAGACTAACAAAAGACTGTCCAGAGAGGGCAATGAAATTACCGCACCCCTGAGCACACACACCCAGGCTTGCGCGCTCTCTCTCTCTCTCTCTCTCTCTCTCTCTCTCTCTCTCTCTCTCTCTCACACACACACACACACACACACACACACACACACACACACACACGACAAAATGCTCCACAAATACCAGACAGGCCTTTGGGACAGAGCTGACAGGAAAAGGTGGCTGGAGGTGGTGCCTGGGATGTGTGTGTGTTCGGAGAAGTGAGATATGTATGGCAGCTAACACAGAGAAGGGGCTCATCATGGGTTACTGCTGTGGCTTTCCTCTGTGTCCACGCTCACCGGAGGGAGGCCTCCGTTGTCATTGAGCCTCTTGGCCCTGTAAGTCTCATAATGGATGTTGTGGGTGACTTCTTTGAGGTCCTGGAGATGAGTCCTGAAGGGCACAGTGAAAAAGAGAAGGGGATGCAGTTAAGGGTTGGAAGATGAGGAAATGATCCACCTCTGAGGCTAACACAGCTCTTTGGGAGACCGGACCCAATGACTTGGCCCTACTCCTGAGGGCCAATGACATCTCTTCAACCCCTCCTTCTTTGAGGCAGGGGCTAGAACTGGGCCAGAAAGCTCTGTCAGAGAGACATGGAAACTCAGGAAGTGAATTTGGACAGATGACTCTCAATCCCAAATAATTAAAACTGCCACAAGGGGAGGGGGAGAACATCTTACCTGATGACGAAGTCTCGAAGCAGGGCAAACTCACAGTGGTTGAGGTTTTCCACTATGGATAAAACAGAAGAAAACGGGTGGCCGTTTCACTAGTGCACGGCCCAGAGGTGGGCAGCTTTAAAGAGAGCACGAGACGCCAGGCTGTGGTGGTGTACACTGTTAGTCCCAGTACTCGGGAGGCAGAGGCAGGCTGTGAGTTCAAGGCCAGCCTGGTCTACAAGAACTAGTTCCAGGACAGCTAGGGTTGTTACACAGAGAAACCCTGTCTCGAAAAACAAAGACAAACAAACAAACAACAAACTTGTGAAGGCCTAAGATGATTGAAAGAAAGGAAAACACACAGGAGCTCATAACAGAACCAGCTCTCCAAGGTCAGAAAACCCAGCCAAGAGATGTGGAGTGGCTGCTGTCTGCATACCACACACCGAGAATGGTGGGAAGAGAGGAGGATACTGCATGGCTCTGGTCTCACAATGTGTATATAGCACTTTCATCCACATTTTGTAATTTTTTTTATTTTTATATGCATTGGTGTCTGGGGGAGTTGGATCCACTGGAACTTGAGTTACAGACAGTTGTGAGCTGCCATGTGGGTGCTGAGAATTTAACCTGGGTCCTCTGGAAGAACAGTCAATGCGCTTAACTGCTGAGCCATCTCTCCAGCCCCCTCTCATCAATATTTCTAATTCAAGGTGAATAATGAGATGCTACTTTTAAAATCCTGAGGTACTGGGTGTGGTAAACATGGTGGCCCACCACTGCAATCCCAGCATTTGGGACAAGGGGCAGAGGATCATGCGTTCAGGGCCAGCCATGGACACAACAGTAAAAACCTGTCTAAAAAAAAACACTAGTTAAGGATTTAGCTCAGTGGTAAAGCACTTGTTTAGCACAGCGAGGCCCTGAGTTCTGTTACCAGAACCACTAACATTATTGACAATGAACAATCCAAGACAGTGGAGTAAATCTCAGTTTGGGAATCAAAATACCCAAATTTGGCGGTGGGTGGGGACTGTGTGACCTTTGCAAAGCAAAACACTTGTCCGAGATTCCTGTTCTGAAGACGGAAGCACCTGCTCTCCTCACAGGGCTACCATATTGAACAAAGGGTTGTTCGTCTTCTTGGTTTGGTTTTGTGTGGACTGCAGGGGATGGGACGCAGGGTCTTACACACGTGCAGCAAGCGTTCTATCACTGAGATACTCCCCAGCCCTGAATGAGACCCTTGAAGCAACTTCTTGAAAACTTCAGATTCACCATATCCCACCCAAGGTCACATCTATTCATAATAAATGCTAGGACAAAGACAATAGCGGACCCACCCTTTGGTACTTGGCCAGGTCACGTATGGAAACCTTTCTCTGGGTTTTTTCCCACCCTTGATCGTTTCCCCAGGTTCTAAATTCATTTGACAGGCCAAGCCATGGCCACCTGGTCACAAGTTAAATGGTGTCACTGCTTGCCAATAAGCTCCTTATCGGCAGCAACTGGCTGGCATCAATGTCCCAGAACAGCACTTTGGCCTCCTGATGATTAATAGCTGTTCTCTGGACAGCCACTTCTAGGCGACGGACTGAATTACCTTCAATGATCCCCCACGGGGTTTTTCTGCCGAGGACCCTCTTGCCATTCACTTGGTACTCCTTGTCACTCCCCACCACAGCGAAGGGCATGCTCTCCTGCTGGATGGGGGGGGGGGCACAAAGCAACACACATGCTCAGTCCTCTTCTGCAAACCGAATGTCCAAGGGCAGGACAGCCTTTCACAACTTACTCTGTTGCTCATTCAGTGATGCTCCTGGGGGCAAGAGCAAGACTCCGCCCCTTGAAAAGGCTGAGCTGGGATGGGTCCTGACTACACTGTCGTCTGGCGGGTTAGCCTCAGTAAGTTGGCTCTCCTTCCACTAGAGAGCCCTTTGTATAGTTCATTGTGCTTGAGCACACATTTTCCTTTGATTTGGAACAGCTCTGTGAGCTAGCTGAGACTGACTCTTACAAACGGCACCTCCCCCCGCCCCGCAGGCGCCAGCCAGACTCAAGCTGTGTTCTGTGGCTCCCATGGAACCTCCTGGCAGATACCCAGGTACCAAACTCTCAGGGCTCTAGGCTGCTCTGCTCTATCGGGGCAAGCACCCGAATGTACCTGCCTGGTGTGTGTTTGTTATTGTCGTCAAAAAAAAAAAAAAAAAAAAGAGCCACGTGTTGTTTAATGGCTGGAAGACGTTCTGAGAAAAGTTCATGGGCGATTGTGCCACGGGCAAACTCATAGCCTAGATGTACACAAACCAGTAGAACAGTTACCAAGTCACCAGATGATATGATTGCAGGGAAGCCCTGTCTCATGTGGCCCAGCCCTTCACTGACCAAAAGCCCTTTATGCAGCTCATGAATACCACATATAAACTGAAGACCTAGGTGTGGAGCTGTTTCCAGAACTGCACAACTGTGCAGAAAGATGACATCAGTGAATTGTTTTGGCATCAAGAATGGTCTTTGGGCTGAGAGTGTAGGTCAGTGATCGAGTGCTTGCCTAGCCTACCCAAGGTCCTAGGTTTGATCTGCAGCCCTGCACAGAGTGTGGTGTGTGTGCATGTGTGTGTGTAGTAAAGCAGAATGATGGTGCAATCCCCAGCACCACAAAGATATAAAGGCTGATGGATGTGACACATATTTTAACATTTCAGCTTCCTAAACTGTTCCTATGTAGACATTTAAGATTTATAGACGTCATTTTTAAGGTGATTATCTGAGGCTGGTGAGGTGGCTCAATGGATAAAGACACTTGCCACCAAATCTAACCTGTTAGAGCCACAGCAGAAGAAGAAAATTAGCCCCTGAAAGTTATCCTCTGACCTCCACACATGCCACGGGGACTCCCACTCCCTCACCACCCCAGTCAGTAAATTAATGTCACTAAAAAGTCTTTTTTTAAAATGCCAGGTAGTGTTGGCACATGCCTTTAATCCCAGCACTCGGGAGGCAGAGGCAGGCAGATCTTGGAAGTCAACCTGGTCTACAAAGAGAGTTCCAGGACAGCCAGGGCTGTGACACAGAGAAACCCTGTCTCAAAATAACAGAAGCAAAACAACCAAAAAGGGGGAGCTTTTTTTAGTAATGACCTTAATTCAATTGTCTTTTTCAACCGAGTATCTGTCCAACTATAAGGGATAAAAGGCTTCCGCTACACTGTTCAACTTTCTAGAAGAGTCCAGAAGGGTCTCAAAACCCAAGTCGTGAATGGAGATTTGTCACAGATTAGGTTGGGTTGGAAGTGGGCTAGGTTTGTAATGCAGAATCACAGAATTGTAGGGCAAGACCTAGGAAGTCATACAGCTGATGGTCTCCAAACCTAGTTTCCTGGTGAGGCCAGAGCCACAGAAGGTATCTTAGCACCTGCTGGGGCAGCAGAGCTCTGTGCCCACAACGACTCAGCCAAAGCAGTTCTGTTCTAGTGGTTTGTATGCTAGAGTTCTAAAGTTTTTTGTTTAAAATTTTTTTTTCTACTTTAGTTATAAACTGGCCCATTAGCTCAGGCTTTTTATTAATTCTTATAACTTGCATTAGCCCATTATTCGTGTTTAAAATTTTTAATTACATATAGTGTGTGTGTGTATACACATGCACATGCATGCATGCATGTTTTATTTCAAGTGTCTACTGAGATCCGGGAGCAACTTTTGGGAGTCAGTTCTTTCCTTCCGCCACAGGGATCCTAGGGATCCAACTCATCAGGCAGTCAGCTTGACAGTAAGCACCTTTACGTGCTGAGTGATCTCATTGTTTTTTATGTAGTTCTTCCAGGGAGAGAGAAAGCCTATAAACCACTCACCTAGTCTAGCCTCTGTATTTTATAGAGTGAGAAATGAGGTATACTTTGCCTAGAGCATAGCTTCCCCTTGGTACTTGCCCAATGCTTTCCCTGCCTGGTGCCCCATCACCTGACACAGAGGTTTTGCCAGATCCTGGGAAGGAAAGGGAAGCTTTCAGATCATTTGGTGATGGACGAGACTGTACAGGAAGCCCTGCTTGTGGGTTCACAGTCCTAGTGAGGGTCACCGTCTTCCCCGCTTCCTGAGGTCTGGGTTAGATGGCCTGACATGGAGACATGGTAGGGAAAGCAGGAGAAGGGCCCTGAAGGCACACCCAGAGGCACTGGGCCGGGAATCTGTGTCACGCAGAGGGCCCCACACACCTACCCTGATTTTGTCATTCTCTGTCTTGTCCTCCAAGTCCTCATCAAACTCTTTCTGAGGGTAGAACTCAATGCCGTTTACTTCAAGCTCTTTGCGAACCTAGAGGAGCAAGGCAGTACAGCACTGATGATCCCCAGGCCCTAGGTCACAGAAAGATCCCAAGAAAAGACACAGCCCAGCCTGAGAGGAAAGAGGAGGAGGGAACGCAGGCTCAGGCCCCTGGGGTTTCAGACAGACAGCACAGCTGTGTCCAGATGCCACAGGCCATGCTCATGACCTTGTCCTTCATGCTCTGCTCTCCTTTGCAAGGGAAGTAAAGTCCACCTCCCAGGCTCTCTGTTAGCCCTCTTTCAAGACCAGCTTAAGTCTCTTCCTCCAGGACTTATTCAGTGCTTTTGTTGGTTTCTTGTTCTTTTCATCCCATGAGTACTAGCATATTACTGTTGGTTACTGGTGAGTGTAGTCTTTCAAGTAACTTAACACTGGAGCAGTGAGATCTCCGCTTCTCCGTGATGAGTGTACCTGGGAGCCTTTGTGAGGAAGAGGAAGCCTGGAACTGCATGGATGTACCTTTGGTCCAGGAACTTCCAGCCCTTGCCTCCTGGATAGTTAAGTGGGAGGGAGCTAGGGTAGAGTAGCAGTGGACGCCATGGCAGGAAGGGAACGGTTCAGACCCAGACCAGAGGAGGGGAACGGCTCAGACTCAGAGGAGGAGAAGGAACCCCTAGACAAGAAAAGGGCAAAGCGGCTCCTCACCCTCTGCTTGAATTCAGACTTCTCCTCCAGGGTCATGGTGTCAGCCTTGGCAATGACCGGGATGATGTTCACCACTTTGCTGAGGTGTTTCATGAACTCAAGATCAAGTGGTCGTAAGCTGAGGCCCAGAGAAGACAGGAATGTCAGAGCCACCAACCCTTCCCGACTCAGTCCCTGCTCTCTCCACACCATCCGTGGGAGAGGACTGGTCTGGGAACCTAGCTGAGGCCATGCAATTGCAGCCTCTCCTCTTGCACATGTCCACCGCTTCGGCGCCCGCTGCATGTCTGCAGCTCCATCCTCAGCCCATCACAATCAAGCTCCCCCTCTCCTTCCTCAGTTTCTATGTAAAGCATGGCTCTCCTTGAACCCCCTCAAATCATTCCATGACATCTTTTCCGACCAAACAATTTCTTTCTTTGGGGGACATACATGGATGGCCCTTGCCAACTGAACTCTTGTCAATGGGCTCATTTCAGCCCCCAGCTTCCATCCCACAGAGCCAGGCTCTGGAGCCCCAGCCTAGTTTGCAGTCCAGGGAATCCATTAAGTCAGACTGTCTTACAGGTCCCACCAACTGTGGATCAAGGTCTAGGAAAAGCTAAAGCTACCGTTTTAGCTGAGGCAGGAAAAAAAAAATCTCAAATTCAAGGCCAGCCTGAGCTACAGAGTAAGTTTAAGGCAAATTTGGACAACTGAGACTCTGTCTTAAAAAATAAAAAGAGGGCTGGGCATGGTGACACATGCCAGCACTTGGGAGGCAGAGGTAGTCAGATGTCTGGGTTCAAGGCCAGCCTGGTCTACAGAGCTAGGTCTGGGACAGCCAGGGCTACACAGAGAAACCCTGCCTCAATAAGTAGAGTTAATAAATAAATATTTTTTAAAGTTAAAAAAAGAGGGCTGGAGTATAGCTCAATGGTAGTGTGCTTACCTAGCACGTTTAATTCCCTGCACTCATTCTTAAAAACAAAACCACCACCAACAAAAAAGCCCTCATTTTATTGAGATCAAGGTCTGACCCAGGGGTATTATTTCACAACCCAGCATTGGCTGGGTACCCCTGGCTCCTTCCAAATCCAGGGTCTACCTGGCTGTGTCATCCCCTCAAAAACTTTAGTTCTGACCCCGCAGAGGGGCTTAGGGAGACACACTGTCCTGTAGGAAGGTGGCTAGAAACACCACCGAGATCCCTGACTTCTGCCTGCTCCCACGTTGCTTATCATGGGACCCATCCGCCACTTTCAAATTAAGTTCCCGGCACAGCCTTCATCTCTGGATGTCTGGCTCATCCTGCGGAAATGGCCACTGTCTGGATACTTACAGCTAAGTTCCACATCTTGCCTAAATACCAGCCCCAGTCCAGTAGCCCTGATTTTCCTACTTTAACTTTCTTGCCGGGGCTGGAGAGATGGCTCAGCGGTTAAGAGCATTGCGTGCTCTTCCAAAGGACCCGAGTTCGATTCCCAGCAACCACATGGTGGCTCACAACCATCTGTAATGAGGCCTGGTGTCCTCTTCTAGCAAACAGAATATTGTATTCATAATAAATAAATATTTAAAAAAAAAAAACTTTCTTGCCACCCCCATGCCCCAAGTCTTGGCCAAAGCAAGTATCTGTTGAACAAATGAGGTGCCCTCTGCCCAAGTTCTCTCTGTTGGTAAAGCTGGGTTGTGCTGGGATACCAGTGACCAGTATGGGGGAGAGAGGGGCAGTGATGCTCACCTTTACTCTCTTTCTTATGGAAAGTCTGGGGAACCCTAAGGTCACAGGGCCATGACCTTCCAGCCACCAGGCCCTCCCCTGCTAAGTCCAAGTATAGATTCTCCAGTCCTTGGGCACAAATGACACACACTGGACCCAGGCCAGGAGTAGGAGTGGGTCTGGTACATACGAGTGTCCTGTGGGGGAGATGAAGTAAAGGCAGCAGTGGACACGGGTGTCAGGGATGCGTTTCTTCCTGGCAATGTTCACCTCTTCCTTCAGGAACTTCTCATACTGCTCATTGATGTATTTCTCAATGGGCTCCCAGCTGAGGGGCAGGGGGAAGCAAACACAGATGGACAAGACTCGGTCAGGTCCCAATCCCCTCACACCCATCTCACATTCTGTCCTCCCTTCTCTACCCAACGGCCAGCTCTGCCTCGGTCTCCCCATGGATGGTTAGCAGGGGTAGCATTCCCCCAGGAGATCCAGCCTCTTTCCCAGGAGGATGCAGGTAGGCCTCAGTGGGAATGAATCTGCATTGTGTCCTCCTAGCAGAGTATTTAGGGAAGAAACCGCAGAGGCAGACACATACCAGTTTTCATTGTTGATCTGGTCCCCGAAGCCTGGCGTGTCAATGACTGTCAGCTTCATTTTGACACCACCTTCCTCTATCACTGGAGAGAATAAAAAAAGCGTCTGACAGGTCAGTCCTATAGTTGACCCCGGAGCCCTACAGTCTGCTGGCCAGGAACACCCATACATCTGAGCAGCAGCTGGTATTAGTCAAGTCAAGGTGACAGACTTCACCTCTACTCAGTACTCTGCACTCTGTGATTCTCCCTATGCCTAGAAGACCGTGTTCTGCTTCTTCTGTGTCTACATCTAAATCCTCCCCGAGCTTTATCACCAATGTCAAGACCCACCTCCTCCAGTTCTACACACACACTCCCCCCCCCACCTCACTGTCTAGCCCTAGCTGCCTAAGGAGTCTGCGCCGACAACTATGGAGTTTAATTCCACTCCGTGGTTATCTTTCACATCTTCTTCCCCAATAAGCCCCCTTTCTCTTGCATGGCATTGGCCCCTCAGAATGATGCCCACAGAGGGCATCCTGAACTAGCTCTCACCATGCCCAATGGCTTTGATCTCTACTGTCTTAGGGATCTTCTCCTCCCGGTTCCAGCTGGAGGCCTTTCGGCTCACTTGGGACTTGAAGAGTGTGTTGACCAGCGTCGACTTGCCCAGTCCACTCTGGCCTGCAGCAAGGGAGGAGGAGACGGAGAAAGGGAGACAGGCCGCACATCTACCTCCTGAGCCGCAGAACCCTCCTGTGAGCTTACAGGGCTCCAGAGCTGTGGTCTAAGCCAAGCCCTATTTGAATGCCCCTTGGGGGTGAGCATTAGGTAGGAATGGCTGTCCATTCAATGGAGAGGAGCCTTGAGAAATGGCAGCTGGATTCCAAGTTCCTTCATGGGCCCCAGGACCACTGGGAGAAGGTACAGCTTGTGCATTTGTGTGGTATGTGTGTGATACAGTTTCCTGGTTTGGTTTGGCTTGTGGTTTTGTTCAACTTAGCTTTTCCATCTTTAATGGCGCTAAGAGTGAGAACAGAATAACTTTGCATTCAGATCCGCCTCACGGTGCATGAGCACGTCCCTGTCTGTTAATAAGATTGGTCTTTGTATCCCCTGGTGCCGGGGACTGAAAACCAAGGCATTGTGCTCGACCGTGAGGTGTTTTAGCACAGAACTAAGTTCCCGCCCTCTCTAAGCATTCTAAACCATCCCTGTGCGGCTCGTAGCAGAGCTGTCTTCCTCCCTAGCTGAGACATCACATGTGAGGCAACACAGCTACTAAATGATCTGATCTTTCGGGGCTCACATTCCAAGAACCCTGCTTTTTTTTTCTTATAAACTGCTTTTTTAAATCTTATGTTTATTGGTGGTTTTTCCTGTATGTGTATTAGTGTGAGTGTGTCAGAAGCCCTGGAACTGGATTTACAGACAGTTGTGAGCTGCCATGGTGGGTGCTGGGGATTGAACCGGGGTCCTCTGGAAGAGCAGCCAGTGCTCTTAACCACTGAGCTATCTCTCCAGCCTTCTGTCTTTACATTTATTTATTCTATATGTGTATGTATGTGTTAAATGCTCACGTTGTATGTGTGTGTGTGTGTGTGGTGCATGTTATGTGTGTATCTGTGTATATGAGATGTACTATGTTGTATGTATGTATATGTAGTGTTTTCGCTGCTTTGGGCTTACTATGTTATCCCTTTAGGCCATCGTCTCTTCACAGATGGGTAATGAAGGAGGGAACTGGCAGGGACCAGGAACGGTGACTAGAAGCAGTTCTCATCCTACCTGAGGAGCTGGCAGAAGCCGCTTAGATCATTCTGTTAAAAGGGCTCTACAGGAAAGAGCACGCAAGTCAAGAGCCTCTCTGTGTGCATGAGTAGAATGTAGATGGGAATTGGTAAAAGCTGAGCTGGAGAAGTTCCCGGCCAGGACAGAAGTCTAAATTTATCCCGAGGTTAAAAGAGTTAGGGAATTAGGATGGATGGTTCAATGAGTTCCGCACGTTGGGAAAGCCGCTGGGCAGCCAGTGGACAATGAATCGGAGAGGAAAAAAGATGGAGAACCAGGAGAGCCCATGTCACCCCAACTGGCACAGCTGTAAAGGTCCACGAACCATCTACATCTACTGCTTTTTGTTTTGTTTTGATTTTGTTGTTGTTGTTTTGGTTTTTGGTTTTTTGAGACAGGGTTTCTCTGTGCAACAGTCCTGGCTGTCCTAGAACTCACTCTGAGCAGGCTAGCTTCGAACTCACTGAGATTCGCCTGCCTCTGCCTCCCAAGTTCTGGGATCAAAGGTATGCACCGCCGCGTGGCTTGGCTACTTCTGGTTCTTAAGCTAAGACTTTGGTGCCAGACAGCCAACATCCATATCAGCTCAGCTGGTGGATTTGTAGTAAAACACCTGGATAAATCTACCCTGGCCAAGGTTCTTCTTCTGCATATCAGCACTGAGTCAGGTAGCTGCAACCACCCAGGTGAGCTGGCCTAGAGTAGCGGTGGGGGATGGGCAGAAGCTGACAGGCCCCGGAGATCTTTACATGGTTAAAGGGACAGGCTGGTTGACTGTATGGGAGAAGAGGGAGGGGGAAGGCTGTCTCACTCCGTTTCTACACCCAGTGAATGACTCTGATGAAGCAAATGTCCCTTCCCGCTACATACGGTGACTCACTGACACTACTCGGTGACTAAGACCCTGGAAAACTTTGACGCTCTAAGGTGTGAACAATGAGACCATCTTTCACCCAGTCCTCTCACAGCTCTCGGGGATGGGAAAGAGCTGACAATGCCCATGCCACAAACCTAAAACCAGCTCAGAGTGATGAGGAGGCTGCCCGTCTCTGTTCAGCTAGTGGTGAAGCCGGGCTAGCCATCCACCCCAATCTCCCATCCTCCAATCAGCCGGTTAGGAGAAAGAGACCAGACCTTTGGGATCAGCATGATGAAATCCTCCCTCCTAGAAAGAGCTCACCCTAGAGAAGCCAGGCCATTCTGGGGAAAGAAATGGGATCCTTGGCGCTGCCCACCACTAGGCCTCCAGTGACCCCATGGCTTTCCATACCAACGACCATGATGTTGAAGTCAAAACCAGTCTTCATGGTTTTCTTGCGCATCTGTTCAATGATGGTGTCGATGCCGATGTAGCCTAGCAGGTTGGAGTTGATGCTGACCGGCTTCATGGGCACCGCCGGCTTAGGCCTGGGCTCGGGTACCAGCTCTGACATAGCTGTGTCCGTCCTGGCCTCTGGGAGCCCTGAAAAGCCAAGGTGGGAGGAATAGGCAGGGTGAGCGGCAAGAGAACAAGGGTTTCGTGGAAGGCACATGGGGTCGCAGAGTTGGGACGGGAAGAGACCATAATTTCATCCAGTCTGGGTCCCATACTGTGTAGATGAAGAAAACACTGAGTCCCAGGAGGAAAGGGGGACAGGAGGCACAGGGACTTGCCCAAGAACACAAAATCTGTACCAGCACCAGGTTCTCCAGTTTGTTTATTATGTAAAGATTTATACATTTTCATCTTATGTGTATAAGTGCTTGTCTGAATGTAAGTATGTGCACCATGTGTATTCAGTGCCCACAGAGGCCAGAAGAGGACACTGGGTCATCCTGGAACTGTTTTTACAAACTGGTGTGAGCTGCCACACAGGTGCTGGCAATCAAGCCCAGGTAAGAGCAGTAAGCAGTAACAGCTGAGCTATCTTTCTAGCCCCAATCAGGTTCTCCAGTTGCTGGACACGTTCAAGCACATCACTGCCTCAAAGTACTGCATCTTTGTGTATGCAATCCAAGGGCTCCTTCACCTTAGCTCTACTGATACCTGCGTAGTTACTGTTCTGGGGCTGTCTTGTGTCTGCAGGATGGTTAATAGCATCCATAGTCTCTTCTAGTTTCCAGAAGGAGTCTCTCAGATGTGACCACCAAAAGCATCTCGACAGAGTACCAAACATTTCTTGAGGGGTAACTCCACCCCCAAAAAGAGCTCTGATCTATGAAATGTCTCAGTTATTCAGACCTGCATCTTGCCTTGCCAAGCAAGGAACAAAGAACCTTTAGGATCCCAGGTCTACTATATATCAACTGCCAACGGTCTCGGTTTCTTGATCTTTTAGAAGCAACCAGAGCTACCTTTCTTTGCAGAGTAAGCGTTACTCCACCCTCAGGGCCATGAGTCTCAAAAGCTGCTGTACAGCAGAGGGTCTCCCAACACCTCCCATGCAAAGTTTTGAGCCTGCGGAACCAGCAAAGAAGGAATGAGACCCAAACAAGGACGGTGCGTGCCTAAGAGGATACTTTCATACTAGTAAGTAGCAGAAGGGGAGGCTGAGGAAATAGCTCTCCCCAGAGAAGGACAAAGGTCCCCTTGGCATGCTCACACGCAGGTGAGATGTGGTGGGTCCCTGTCCAGCAGAGTAAGTCCTAGAAGAGATCAACTCCATCTCCCTCTCTGGAAAATGGGTGTGGGGTAAAGTGGAAAAGATCTTGGCTCTGCTATTTGTCAGCTTGTAGACTTGTGTGGGCCACTTCCCTTCTATGAGCCTGCTTCTTCCTCTGCAGAATAGTAGGGTCATGACTAAGGCTGTGGTGAGCATCACATGAGACGTGATGCTTATAAGCCCAGAATCCAGCCTCACAGACCCATGCCCTCTCGCCCTTGCCATTTTGTTTGGTTTGGTTTGGTTTTGTCCTGAGATGGGTTTCACTGTGTAGCCCCAGCTCTAGACCAGGCTGGCCCCAAACTCACAGAGATCCGCCTGCCTCTGCCTCCCAAATGCTGGGATTAAAGGCGTGCGCCACCACTGCCCAGCTACCCCTGCCCTTTTCAAGTTCAGCTTTCTGGAGCAGGATGGAAACTGAGCGCGTGAAAGCGTTTACGAAGCGGAGGTGCCCCGGTTGCTGATTTCACAAGCCTATCTTTGCCGCCATGCTTGAGAAGCTGTGCCATTTTAGAACCCCGCAGTTCATGACTACCACCCTGCCTCTCAGCCCTGTGAGGAGGGTTGATGGAGCCGCAGATGGGCAGGAGGAAGTGGGAACACGGTCTCCCTCCCCATTCCCAAGCCCAGCCAGGAATCTGCTCTTGTACCCCCGCCACCTGGTCCTTCCCCTGATACTGGCAAGATGGGAACCTTCTTTCCCGTGTCCCCCCTCAGGCACAGCTAAACCTGACAAAGCCTCAACACCTCCTCAGAGCCTGGCTCTGCTCCCTCTTGCTTCCCAGGAAGCTGTTGCCAGCCAGGTGGCTCCAGAAGGCAGCAGGATTGGCTCGGCCCTATGGCAGCTGACTCTGCACAGCCTGGGTCCGCTCCTCCACTCCACACCCAGCTCGTGTCCCCCTTCAGCACATCTGCCCTGGGAGCCAGTGCCACGTTTCTCCTCCCTGCTGTTCTCACAGCCTGGCCCTTTTGGTTTCCTGCACGCCTGCTAGGCACATTTGGTACCTCCAGGCTGTGTGGTGACATAAGCCACCTGGGAGGCGGGCAAGGGTACTTGTATATGTGGAGGGTGTAAATACGTAGAAAGCGTATGTCCTCACCGTGGCCTGCCTACTCAGCTCTCTCTCAGACCCTGAGTGAAGGACGGGGCTGCCCAGATGCCCAAACAACTCCTAGACTCTACGGCTGGCCTGATGGAAGTCCAGGACATAAGTGGCTCTCACTTTCGTTAGCATCCATGATGAGCAAGGTACAGAGCACCTCCCAGCAGGTCAGCCTCCTCCCAACCATACTCTAATCACATGCCCGTCACAGGCTAACAGCCGCCACTGATCAAGTACCACAAGTACCACAGATGCGATGCTGGTCACCGTGTCACAAGCTTTGCTGGAAGCCCAGTCTAGTAACTTCCCCTTACTGAAAGTCTTCCCATCTGATATGGATGCCCCTCTTGCTCTGCTGCCTCAGTCCCCTGTAGGTTCTAGAGTAGTTAGCATTATCAGTTCATTCCAGGTCATTCCACACGCTGCCAAGTGAAAGCCTGACTAAACCAAGTGCTACATTAAATTCCAAGGATACATTTGTATCCAAGACAAGGTCATTACCCCCCCCCGGGGGTGGGGGGTCATCATCTGTGAAGGCGCCTAACAAGTACACCAGGACTCCAGGGTACAAAGCAAATGCTGCTCTGGAGTTGGCCTCTGTGGCTCCATTCTGTGCTCCTCCCACTCCCCAGGCCCCACCAGGTCATCTTTGGATGGGCAGTTATAGAGGCATGAACCCAAGAGAGGGGAATGTACCTGCCTTCCTGGGTTACCGTGAAAGCCAAACAAAATCATGAATTTAAATGACCTGTTACCAAATGCACAGTGGTTTCCAGCCCTCTTTAAGGTAGAAGCACGCCTTATTGTGCCCTGTGCCCGGTGCACCCTGGCACATCACAGACACTCAACAATGAATGAACGGTTGGTGTGTGAATGAAAGCCCCACAAGGCAGGAGTCCCTGCAGACACCTTTCTCCTTCCTTGGATGCTGCTTCCCATCCAGAGCACCAGGACCCCACCCCCCACCAACAAATAGCCGCTGTGGGAGCCATGGTCAAGGTAGGTATGCCTATAGAGACCTCCTCCATCCTCTGCATCTGAGATTGGAGGGGGGCTTCCCAAGAGTGGGGAAAGAGTTCATAACAGTGCTCATAGCAGAATGCAGCTAGATGGCCCTGGAGGGCCCCTCCTAAGCTTTCAGCTCTCCCAGAGAGGGGTGCATCTGTCTGCAGCACCCCTGCTAGGTACCACCTGCCACATTAGTGCTCTAGGAAGAGAGACAGTCCACCTGACTCAGCTCTGGCCCCACAGGACAGCACACTCCATCCCTAAGGCAAGCAAGGATGTAGGGCTTTCTCCTACAGGAAAATTAATGGCTTTGTCTTTGTCTGGTCCAGAGACCCCACCCCTCTGTTGGAAAGGTGGCAATAGGAGAAGGGAACCTTTCTACAATGCTTACCTCCTTTTAGCTTAATGCTAGACTATCTCTTCCCTCCCAAGCTGAGGGGGGTCTTCTCCAGCTCCTTGGTAACCTGCAGCTTTTATTACCCCACCCCCACCGCAGAGCCAATTCCAGGCCATCCCAGTTCCAGCCCTGGGCAGCTCAAAGAGAGAGAGAGAAGAAAAAAAGAAAGAAAGAAACAAGTCCTTCCCCATTAAAAAAAAAAAAAGGGGGAGGGACACCCCCCACCTCGTTCTGGTCAGGAAGCCAATGAGTTCCCTTGGCGACCACCAGCTGGTGCCTGTCTCTACACTTGGTCTCTATGTGGGGGAAGGGGACTGACGGATGTGTCAGCGCACGGGTCTCTTACTGGTTGTAGGTGGTCTGGCACCCATGGCTGGAGTACATGCTATGCATGTGTGTGAGTGTCCTAGGGGACTCCAGCAGGGGCTTTCCCTAAGCATCTGAGTCTCCATACCTCCCCAAGCTTCTGTGTGTGCCTTTTCCGGAGACTCTGCCTCCAAATGGGTGCCACCTGGTATGCGTGTGTCCATGCATATGCACGTGGGGTCCTCAGCACAGCAACCCTCCCTTTGGTAGCGCTTGGGGCCGTAGCCTCCTCCCGGCCGCTGCCAGGCGCCCAAACGACAGCCCTACCTTTGGACATGAATTCTCCTTTGTCTCGGGTCCTCCGGGAGATGCTCAGGGCGCGGGGCTGCAAGGCTGAGCCGGGCGCGGGCTCCCTCTGGGCCAAGCGGCCCCCGCAGCCGGGCCTCGCCCCTCGGCGCCGTCCGCCTACCCGCCCGACCAGCCACCCGGCCGCGCCGCCCCTGCGCCCCGCGCCCACCCGGGACCTCGCCTCCGCTTGCTCGGCGCCGAGCCGCCCCTGCCCGCGCGCACCGATGCTGCCGCTGCCACCGGCACCACGTGACCCGCGCGCTTGCCGGCCCCGCCGAGGGCCCCTCCCCTTCCCGCGGCTCCCCAGCCAGCACGCAGGAGCAGGTACCGGAGTTCGGGTTGCCCAGCCCGGCAAGGTGCCTGCATTGCACGCAGTCCCTGTCTCTCCCCCTAGATCCTGTCCCAGGCCCCTTACCGGGTCCGGGACGCAGGAGATCGGTGGCAGCTGCCGGTGACCGTGCGCGTGCGTGAGTCACGCGGTGATTGGGATATTGCGCTGGCTCACCGCGGTTCTGCCCAGGCGCGGTTGCTGACAGAGCTCCGAATCAGAGAACTGGGTTCCAGGCCCTGCTTCCAGCCTGGATGCTGAACCCTATAACCTTGAACTTCCCTGACCATCCTTTACCCACCGGAAAAAATCTTTGATGCGTTGACGATGGCTTGTTGGTCAACCTTGGCAGCACAGAAGGTTTGGATGACCAAACCTTCACCTTTAAGGTTTTGAGTCTAACAGAAATCAAACAGCTGGTTCACACAGGTGCTGTGTAGTGCAAGCGAACAGGCGCCATGAAGATGACGGAAGATGAGGGATAATGGAAGGTGAGGGCCGACATGGATAGGCAAATGGTGAAGAGAAGAAAAAAAAATGAAAGGGCAACGGGGCCAGCCAAGCCCAGCGGCGGCACAGCAGTGTGCAGGTGATACCTCAGAACGCTGATTTGGGCCACAGGCAAGGAATGCCCCAGCTAAAGAGGACGGAGAGGCAGGTTGAGCAAGCAGTGGGCCTGAGGGGTGGTAATAATGAGACTCTAAAATTATGACACCAGATAGGGAGTCCCTGTGGCAGTTTTGTGGAGGACGGAAGAAGGATACAAAGCGATGACAGCTGTGGGGTGTGGTGGCACACGTCTTTAACCCCAGCACTTGGGAGGCAGAGGCGGGTGGATCTCTATGTGTTTGAGGTCAGCCTGGTCTACATAGTTAGTTCCAGGACAGCCAGGGATACATAGATATCTTGTCTCAAAGAAAAGAAAGAAAGAAAGAGAGAAAGAAAGAAAGAAAGAAAGAAAGAAAGAAAGGAAGGAAGGAAGGAAGGAAGGAAGGAAGGAAGGAAGGAAGGAAGGAAGGAAGGAAGGAGTGACAGCCGGTCAAGTACAGAGAAGATGCATAAATCAGATTTATAACAAACAGAATGGGGTGGAAAAGAAAGAAAATGAGGAGAGCAGATTAGCTGGGGATCTGATCACTGTATCAAAGATGGGTTGTGCCAGCAGCTGAGAGATGGAGCGGGGAGGGCAGCAACTGTTTCTAGAGCAGTGGTTCTCAACCTTCCGAGGGCTGCAACCCTTTAGTACAGTTCCTCGTGTCATGATGACCCTCAGCCATAAAATCGTTTCGTTGCTACTTCATGACTGTAATTTTACCACTGTTATGAATCATAAGGTAAATGTCTGATATGCAGGATATGTGATCTGTGACTCCTGTGGGGGTCATGAACCACTGTTGTAGAAGAAAAGGGCTCCCTGCCTCTAGACATGGCCTGGAGATACCCAGGTGGAGGAGCCCAGCAGACGTAGCCTTCTGCATTTCAGAAGAGAGCGGAGCTGAAGATGGAGAGCCGGGCTCACACAGCAAGAGTGAGGACTAGGCTGTGTGCTGAGAGGGATGAGAAAGGCTTTGACAAGCCCAGCTCCCTGTTCAAGCGCTGTACTGGGTACTCTCCAAGCCTTCTTCCTGTCCCAGAACCTGAGCTTTGGAAATTTGGCCAGGTCTGGTTTCCAATAGATGCACTGCCACCATTTAGCTCTGGTGTGACTTCGGGTGTGCCACAAACCTCTCCGAGACAGCCATGGGATTTCTAGCCTTTGTACTGACCTCTTTATAGATCTCTCTCTCTCTCTCTCTCTCTCTCTCTCTCTCTCTCTCTCCCCTTCAACTTTAAAAGAACTACAGCCAAGAAAGATTTCCAGGTAAGATTAGCCTTGAACTTCTTATCCTCCTTATCCTTTACCTGGCTGTACCTTTTTTTGTTTTATTTGTGGGGTTTTTTGTTTTTGTTTTTTTGAGATAGGATTTCTCTGTGTAGCTTTGGACCCTGTCCTGGAACTCACTTTGTATACCAGGCTGGCCTCAGACTCACAAAGATCCACCTGCCTCTGCCTCCCAAGTGCTGGGATTAAAGGTGTGTGCGACCACCACCCGGCTGATGTACCTTTTAAATAGCAAATCTCCTACAAAGTTATTTGTGATTTGATTTAGGTCTCCCGGAGACCTGAGGTGGGGCTTTATCTCACCACAGAAGCACTGAGATATCAGGCTACTGGTAGCTAAGTCACAGCTGACTGAAGAGTTTGCTGTGTTTTTGTGCCTTAGACTTTTTGTTGTTGTTGTTTGGTTTTGGTTGTGGTTTTTTTGAGACAGGATTTCTCTGTGTCGCCCTGGCTGTCCTGAAACTTGCTCTGTAGACCAGGCTGGCCTCAAACTTAAGACTTTCCTTTAAGCCGGCCTCACCTAATTATCCTGACTTTTCAGAGAACTAAAAAGGAAGCATAGGTCATGGTCAAGAGAGGACTCAGTCTGCTTCTCCACAGCCTAAGCTGTGAACCTTCCTCCTGGTGGCTTCCCTCGGCCTGACTTCCAGTAGCTTGGTTTGGGGGACATACTGCTTCTCTTCAGTCCCTCAACCCTCGTCCCCATTTCTGTCACCCTTTCGATTCCGACCCTAGAGTCCCCATTCTCTTTCCCAACCCATAGAGACTGTTGCATCCTTGCTCCCCTAGCAACACCACCTCCCAACCGAGTTCTTGCGCCTACCTTCGGGTTCTCTGGCCAGGTCCAGCGAGGTAGGCTCGGCGGCACTGTCTGTGGCAGCATCGGCAGCAGCACAGTCCTGGCCTGGGTCTGTGCTTCTGCCTGGCATTAGCGAATAGGTTGCAGCGTCCGCGATGGTCAGGTGATTGGCAATGTCTAGCTTGGTCTCACCAGTGACTGGGCAGACCAGCACAACTGAATCCATGGCTGTTTCCAGTCTGCTTGTGTCCAACACAGAAGAATCTGCAGTTGTGTCCAGCTTGGCTCTATTGACTCCAGCCAAAGCCATGGCTGTGTCCAACCTGCTTATGCCCAGATCAATTTGATCCGGTATTTCCAAAGCCATGGCTGAGTCCTCCGTGGTCATAACCATGACATTTTCCAGCTTGTCTGAGTCTGCAGTTACCAAATTCACAACCTGGCCTGGCTTGGTTGTCCCTGATCCAGCTAAATTCATGGCTGTGCCTAGTTTGGGTGGGCCTGTTATCACCGAATCTGTGGATTTTCCTGCCTTGGACGCTATAGGTAAGTCAACGGTCATGCCCATCTTAGGAAGTTCAGTGTCTCTGACCATTCTGGATGGGTTTGGTGTGGACATATTGATAGCCAGCTCAGGTCTGTTGATGACCATTGTGCCTAAATTTCTGGCTATATCTAATTTTGTGCCCACAGCAGACAAATTTGTAGAAGGAGAAGGAGCAGCCCTTTGGAGGTACGCTCGGGATCTGGGAATACCCCTGGGCTTGGACTTGCCTCTTCCTGGAGAGGTTCTGGTTTGGACTTGAGCCACAGAGCCCGAACTCTGAGTGTGCTGAGATTGGAATGGCAAAGTCAGATGTGAAGACACCAGGGGCTTATCCCCTGAGGGTGTCCTGTTGGCTTTGGTAAGACCTGGGTTCCCATGGCCTTCAGAGGAGGTGCTGTCCTTTGGCACTGGGGCCATGGATGGTGATCTTGAAGTGGAAGGCCTCCCTTCTCCATGGGTGAGTACCTCCTTGCCCAAATTGGACAACTCTTCCCAATGAGAAACTGGGGCATCCAGGGGCCGCGCTTGGACATTCTGGCGAATCGTTAAGGAAATAGAGCTGAGTTTCCTGGGCATAAAGCTATTGGGAGGCAGAGAGCCCAGGGGCCCTATGCTGCCCTGTTGGGACATACTCCAGGCCTTGGATCTAAGGCTTGGCTGGCTGAAAGTCGGTAGGACATTGCCTTGGGGGAAGGCGTTCAAGTGGACAGTCTTCTTGATGACAGGGATGAGGGGGGACACATCTCTGGTGAGCTTTTGGTGGGTGTGGCGCCCCAGCATGTGGCCGCGGGAGAAAGAAGATCTGGGGCCTGGAGCCCTGTGCGGCTGCATCTCTGGAGGAGGAGGTGCAAAGTCGTGGTCCATCCGGGCTGTTCAGCTTTCCCTGAGGCAATCACAAGAGAGGAAGGCAGACAAGGATGAAGTCTCAACTCTCCTCCTCCCAACCAGCAGATGGCGCTAGCAACCTGAAGGGAACTTATTTGGATGCTTGTTGAGTCCTTAGTAGAGTGTGTGTTCTCCTATATAGCCCGACCTTCCACCTGCTACTGACTGACATGCACCTCACACACCTGCCTCTTCAGCAGCCCACTGTAGGCTCGGCTGATGAGCAACTTGCCCCTGACACGAGAGAACCCAGGATGGAGTTCAGCTTTCTCTTTTCTTGGGTCTGAGTGTGGCTGTTCTCTCTGGACAGCTCTGTGGAGGTTGCATACATAGGCAGGGACCCTAGAAGAGGATTCTGCAGCAAACTAGGAAAGAACCCCTGAGCTGGACTAGCGGTGGGAGAGACATCCGGGAGAAGCCTGAGTCAGTTTGGATGTCAGCTGTGCCTGGCATTGGGCAGCTCCTAAGCCCAAACGTGAGAAAATGAGGGCTTCTGAAAACCCAGCATGGGGCTCCTGCTGTGCCTGGCAGGGTGCAGATAAGGCTGAAGGTAAACCCTGGGGGGGGGGGGACAGGACAGGCTGCAAAGCTGCTCAGGTCCTGCAGTCTGCTGTTAGGAACAACCGTTTGAAGGCAGGTTGAAAGGGAGATTGTTGGAAATTAGATTGAGAGCAGGCAATCTGTGGGGCGTGACTGAAGAAGGGCTCTGTGGACTGTGAGGTGGGGACAGGGAGTTGAGAGAGAAGGGAATACCCAGGCCGATCCTCCCACGCTGCCAGGTAGTCTGGCTAGATGAACCACACTCCCTGAGGTGGTCTCCAGGGTTCCCCGGGTGGCTGACTGGTTGACCTCTCTGAGCTGCCCAGAACTCAGCCTCTGGGACAAAGTCATTTCCCTTATTTTCAACACCACAAGCCTGCTTGGGGAACCAGGCCAATGCTGGTGGGAAGAAGTATCTGAGTGTAAGGAACTGGCGGAGGAGGGTGATGTCGTAGCCATCTCTCTGAAGTTTGGAACAGGAGACAGCAAAGGCAGGGAGCCCGGGCATCCTCATTGTGCCTTAAGTGACGTCCTCAGCCCTCATCACCAGCCATGTATTCGTATCAAGACTGTCCAGTCATTGCCCCTTCTCAATTTGGCACAGCCCTGCAGCTCTGACCTCCTTGCCCATTGCTCACACCACAGGCCCCTGGGCACACCATGGTCACACTGCCCTTGGCCACAAGCCCTAAGATCACTTTGTTCTTATGCCACCATATCCCTAGCTCCTCACTGAGCCCCATGTGCCACGAACACCTTGGTCCTATCCTTCCCAATGTGCAGGTGCGCACGCGCGCGCACACACACACACACACACACACACACACACGCACGCACACGTGCGCGCACATGCACACACCTACCTTGATCAGAAGACAGAAAAGGGGCCGGTAGTTTTCAGTCAGGGAAACTGGACCAATTGTAGACCCCACCCGCTCCTCTGCACCCAGAGCCAGCCATGTGGCCTGGCTCAGAGACCTCTTTTCCTGGGTCCTCTTAGGGGACCACAAACGGAGGGACCCAGCCCTCCCCTGCCTTTGTCCCTCTAGCTACAAGCCCAGCAGCAGGGCTGGGTGCTGGGCAGGGAAGATCTGGCTGGAGAGTGGGTGGCAGTGAATGGTTTCTCTGAGTCTCTGGAATCCCACAGAGCTATGGGAGTCAGCCAGCTGCGCTGCCCTGAACACAGGGCCACTAGGGAGGGGATGCCCTGGCGTTCCACCTATCCGTGTGTTCTTGTCTCCAAGACGGGCCCCTTGAGAGGTTCTCTCACCAGTAAGAGAGAACAGGGTTACTCCAATGATGATGTTACTCTTTTTGCCCCATGTCAACTTCCCTCCTGCCTTCCCTCTGCAACCCCCTATGAGTTCGGTGACCCTGGGGCCATCTGTGACCATGCGCCTGAGATCTTGCCTCAAGCTGGAATTTTTGAGTGTGCATCTGTACCCTCACAACCATTCTCTGAGATCCAGTTTGCTTCAGACACATCCTCGACTAAAATTCAGGGTATGAATAACTGGCCCCAGGCCTGACCTCAGAGAAATCCACAAACCCACCCAAGCTGGCTCTGATGAGGCAGATTCTCAGCAGCCCCTGGCCACGGGACTGGGACTGATAACCCTTTTATGTGTCCCCCAGCACCCAGCTGCCTCTGTCACGGTGATGTCGTAAGGACGGTGGAGGGAAGAGCCACCACAGGCCAGGAACTTACTCTGTGCCAGGCACTGAGTCAGGTGGGGGGAGCTTAGAGTCTGCTCAGGGTGACAGAGGTGTAAACAGATCCTCACACCATCAGCCACAGTGCACACAAACGGTCATCCCCCAGACACTCCCTCTGAACCAGGAGAGAGCGAAACGCCCCTGGTTCCCCCTCTAATCATCACCTTGCCGCTTGCTTTTTGCCAGCGAGGACGCTGTATATACTTCACAACGCTGCGGGGTCTGGCCTGCCTTCCTGTGTGCTGCTCTCCTTGGCGAGTGAGCGTCTGGCCTGGCCAATAGAACTTTCTGTGATAATGGAAATGTTCTATATCTCAACTGCCCAATAAAATAGCCACTAGCCACGGCTGGCTCCTGGGCACCCACCATTATTCTCTGATGACCAGGGACCTGAATATTTGATTGGATGTCATCCGAATGTGTGTCTACTGGATTGGACAGCTCAGGTCTGAAAGACCCGGTCCTTAGTCTTCTCTGGGCCCGAGGGCCTGGCAAGAGCCACTCAGTGTTTTTGGGCCGCGACTGAATGGCGGCTGTGTGGGCCTAGGGTCCTCCCTTCTTACCCTGCTCTCTCTTCTTCCAAGCTGTGGGTTTCCAAAGCTGGTTATGCTCCGGTTACCAGGGCAACCTGTGAGAAATCACACTGCGAGAAAACACACACACGTTTTGAGGCGGCCCCGAGGAAAGACAGACATGGCTGGGGGAGTGACATAAAGTCTGCCTGGACATCCGGGGGGAGGGGGCAAGCTCTGTAGAGCCCACCCTGCTCCATGGCATCACCTCCTGGTGATCAAGCAGCCCTGAAGTCAGGGGTGCTGGGTTCTCCTTGCCTGAGCACTCACCCTAAGACTCCTGGCTGATAGGCTGGGCAGCACTCCAGAGGGAGAGGCAGGCGGATCTCTGAGTTCAAGGTCAGCCTGGTCTACAGAGTGAGTTCCAGAACAGCCAGGGATACACAGAGAAACCCTGTCTGGGGCGAGAGGGTGGACGGATTCTTAAGTCTCAGCTGTCTTTCTAGTTAGAGATTTTCACGTGATTTCTTCCCGCCTGGAGATCTAGACACCCCCCTCCTTCCTCCATTCAGAACAGTACCTAAGTCTTATCTATCTCTGTTTTCCACCTGCTGGGCTGCCTCTCTCCTCTCCCTCCACTGTTGGCTGGCTTCGAGCAAACCGTTTATAGTTTTTCCACCTGCCGCCTCTGCAGGCAAGAAACTTATAGTCAACCTCATGTATACAAAATATATAATGTAAGTATATAAACCCAGTACTTACTAATAATAATTCAGAGAAATTCGTCTTTCCTGAGGTAGAGTGTAGTAGAGCCCTCGGCTAGCATGCTTTAAGGCCCTGAATTCAATTCCTACACAAAAACAAATAACATTAATTTGAAAAAAAAAAATTCATTTTAAAACAATTCTTTGGTACACATAAAATCTTACCATTTGTTAAAGACAAAAGGTAAATTGGCATATTAATGAGATGGATATGCTTGTTTATTTTTACAAAAGAACTAAATCTCAGCTGTTTACCAATACCATAGGATGCCAAGCATCTTCAGGGTTTTTTAGAATTGATGGCTATTTTATTTTGTTGTTGTTTTCGTTTGGTTTTGGTTTTTGTCCAAGACGGTGTTTCTCTCTGTGTAACCCTGGCTACCTTGGAACTCACTCTGTAGACCAGACTAGCCTCAAAGTCACAGAATTCTGCCTGCCTCTGCCTTCCGAGTTTTGGGATTAAAGGAGTGTGCCACCACGCCCGGAGGACATTTTGATTTTATAATTGACAATGCTGAGAATGCCACTTTGCATAAATCAAAAGTATAATAACAGCAGGAATGTGTTCAGAAATTCTTAGGAATTATTCCCTACTCCCAAGTCAATTTTCCCTTAATGACTCTTACGAAACTCCAGACACAACAGAAAACAGTGTTTTTGTCTCAGACGGGGTCTCACATATACCAAGTCGTCCTTAAACTTCCAAGAATGGCGTTGAACTTCTGCTCCTTGGGCCTCCGCTAACGGAGGACTCCCACACCCACTCTGTGCACCGCTATGGCCTGAACTCATTTCGTACTTTGATGAAGATTGGCGGTGGGAAAATGTCGACTTCACTTCCCATCATTACGCCATTATGCTTCTACAATAGCAGTAAAAACACTGCAGTTTATAATATCCCACAGTCTCTGTGGTGCTTTAGGTGGCATTCATTGGTGGTATATGGAGTGCTGGTATGTGATGTGCAGGCCAACGCTGGTTATGAACTTTGAATGTTCACTACCAAGGAGACACAGACAGCCTTCACACAGGAGTTGGCAGAAACACCAGAGATTCATGTCGAGTTTGAGTTTGAATTAGTTTTTGGTTGTTGTGCACTCAGACACCTTTTACTGTTGCCCAGTTTTCACTGCCCCCACATTCAGTTACTGGCGGCCACCCACAGATTTGAGAGTCTGGGGCTCAGAGTTCACCGCCTGACCAACAATTACAAACTTGGGTCTCGCTGCCCTCTAGTGGCCAAAAGTGGCAATGCCCTCCTTTACGTCTGCGTCTTCTCATCAAAGACAGACACAGACAAGGACAGAGACCTCCACTCCAATCTTTGTAGTGGCCTTCCTGACTAGAGGCACGTGTTATGAGATCTCTCAAACATGTGATTTTTGAACTTCGTCTCTCTAAGTTCCACTTTGTGCTGTAATAGGGGCTGGGTTAGACAGTGTAGGTC